CCCACCAAGGTAGAGGAGGAACTTTGTCACAACTGGTGTCAGCAGCAGGATTTGATGTGCACAGCGTGGTGGAAGAAGGAGGGTGTTTGGAAAAAAATTTTTAAAAAAAGGGAGAGGGTTTATTTTTATTTTTTTTCTCACCACAATGGAGGAGGTGTGTGGGCACTGATACAAGCCACGGCTGCCCAGCAGGAGCCTACCCGTGTCCAGGCAGCCGCCCAACAGGAGGCCGGGCGGCTGCAGCAAGAGACTAATCACCTGCTGATGGACCAGGCTGCTCAAGTCTGGGCTATGTTGCGGAAACTGGTAAACCAGGTAAAGGCCCTTACAGAGCTGAACCGCGGCCATGATGGGACGTAGATCATGCAGGCCAGCAATTGGCTGCAGAAAATGATGCGGGAAGATGATGTAGAGGCATACCTCCTGGCCTTTGAGAGGACAGCCCTGTGGGAGGCTTGGCCCCGAGAACACTGGTCTGGCATCCTCTCTCCATTCCTGTGTGGGGAGGCCCAGAAGGCCACCTATGATTTGCCTGAAGAGGCTGTGGCAGACTACCCCCAGCTGAAAGCAGAGATCCTGGCCAGATCTGGGGTAACGACCACAGTGCGGGCCCAGCGATATCATGAGTGGAGGTACCAGGAAAACAAAACCCCGTGGTCCCAATTATATGACCTCATCCATCTTGCACGAAACTGGTTACGAACTGAGTCCCGGAGTCCGGAGGAGATACCAGAGGTTCTGGTCATCGACCAGTACATGAGAGGGCTACCGCCAGACCTTCACGCCTGGGTAAGACAGAACGAACCCTCCCCCTGCGACGAGGTTGTCGCGCTGGCAGAAAGGCGAAGGACGGCGAGGGAGCTGACCCGACCCGTGAAGGAAGAAGCACCCCGGGTTAAACTAGCAGCACCAAGCCCTAGTTCTCGGGTGACTGGGCCACCAGGAGGGCCCAGGTGGAAAAAGAGAGGGGCTGAAGGCCACCAGAAGCCACAAAGAGTTGGAGCACTGAGGGGGAAGAGGATCGTGAGGTTAGACTGACCAAGCCAAGAGACCGGGGAACACCTAGGACTCCATACAGAAGTTACGCCTGTGAGGAGTGGGGACACATGGCTGCACAGTGTCCCAATGCTGAGGAGCCTATGCAGTGTAACCTGGGGAAGTGGGCAGACCCATGCTCCCTAATCCACCTTGTGGGGGTCTCACTAACCCCACATTTGTACACCAGACCAGTGAAGCTAAATGGGGTAGAGACCACGGCACTGATTGATTCAGGGAGTGCTATCACACTTGTCTCGAGGAAGCTCGTGAAGCGTAGTCAGCTGCTGTGGGCTAAGCATACGGGGACAGTTGGTTATTACCCCACCATCCCAGTAAAAATCGAGATTCAGGGGAACACTACTGAGGTAGCAGCAGGTGTAGTCCCTAAACTCCCATACCCGGTGCTCATAGGGAGGGACTTCCCAGGTGTGACAAAGTGGGACTGTTCCTAATGTTTCCTCTGAATATTGTGGGGGTGCCTCAGTTTCCCCATGGCAGTTCTTAAGTATCTAGGTGGTGGGATAAGGGTGTACGATCATTGCAGAGCCCTAGAGGGCAGGTGTGTGCAGGGGTCTGCACACAGAGAATGGCCGACACCCTGTTTCCTCACAGCTGATGGCCTGGCCCTTCCCCCCTGCAAGGTGAGAGCTAAAGGGTTGGAGAACAAAGGAATCCGATGACCTCCTGGCCCGGGAAAGGAACAAAGCCCAGAGGAGGAGGAGCTGGAGGGTGAGGCAGTTGGGGGCTGGCTGGGGACATGGAGTGAAGTGCAGACATGGTTGTCTGGCTCACTGCCCCCCAGAATGGACCCGGCTGAGGGGTCCTGTTCTCTGCACCTACAAGCTCTGTTTTAGACCATGTTCCTGTTGTCTAATGAACCTTCTGTTTTACTGGCTGGCTGAGAGTCACGTCTGACTGTGGAGTTGGGGTGCAGGACCCTCTGGCTTCCCCAGGACCCCGCCCCGGGGCAGAGGATGCTGAATGGTCCGAGGTCAGACCCAGGAAGGTGGAAGCTGTGTGAGCTGCTTGCCCTGAAGACAGTCTGCTCACAGAAAGGAGACTTCCCCAGAGTCCTGACTGGCTTCGTAGGGAGCAGTTCCAGAGCATTGCCCGGGGACTCCATGACACCAGGGTTTGGAGACTTACACCCGGTAGGGGAATTGGAGAAAGGGGGAAGCCCTGAAATTAGTGAGGCATCCACAGTAGACTGTCAACCCCCAACCTTCTCTGAAATATCCCCAGATTTGTTCTCCACTCCCAGACAGCGTAGAAAGAAGAAAAGGGAAAGAAGTGCATCTAAGGCCTTGGGAACCCAGATGCTGGCCCAAAGCCACAGGGTCGCTCTCGTAGGTAGGCAGACCAGAGCAGCTGAAAAGGAGGCCGCCCAGGAGGGAGAAGCACCCGAGTCTGACCCACACCCTAACGCCTCTGAACCAGTAGAGGCAACAGAGACTGGCCCCTAGATCTCGAGCAGATTAGCCCTGGAAAAGGAAATTTTGGACGGGACCAAGCTGAAGACCCAAGGTACGACAACATTAGGAAGGAGGTGACCAAAATAGATGTGGTCACCGTGGAAGGGAAAACGCAGGGACCAGGACCCTACTTCATAATGAAGAAGAATCTCTTATACTAGGTTGCACCAGTACAGGGGCAGAAGGTACAGCAGATCCTAGTACCTCAAAAACACCAGAATGCTGTATTAAGTCTTGCCCATAGTCATCTTTTTGAGGGGCATTTGGGGGTAGAGAAGACCCTGGCCCAGGTCCTGTGATGATTCTTCTGGCCCAGAGTACATGAAGAAGTGCAGAGGTACTGTGCGTCCTGCCCAGAGTGTCAGCTGCACACTCCCCGTTCCCACTTGAGGGCACCTTTAGGGTACCCACTTGAGGGTACCCCTTCCCATCATAGAGGTCCCCTTCGAGTGAATAGCCATGGACCTAGTGGGACCCCTGGAGAAGACAGCCCGGGGCCACCAATATATACTTGTCATTCTGGATTATGCTACTCACTACCCAGAAGCCGTCCTCCTGTGGAACACGGCCTCTAAAACAATAGCTAAAGAGTTGGTGGGGATCTTTGCCCGAGTGGGGCTACCAAAGGAGATATTAATAGACCAAGGTACTCCATTTATGTTGAAGCTAATGAAGGACCTCTGTACGCTGCTCCATATACATACCCTGAGAACTTCAGTCTATCATCCACAGACCGAGGAGCACAAGCATTATCAGACACCAGGAGGAAGGTCCTATGGTGAGGATAAAGAAGATGTTGGGAGGAGGCCATGGGGACGTAGCCCAGGGAGTTGTAGCTGTCACACAGCTGTTCCAGGAGGCACTCCAGACAGCTGCAGTCCACAGGGCCCTGGGCTGGAACCCGGAGTAGAGGGCAGTCCCAGGTTCCCCCCAAACCTCCCAACTCCTGGTGAGACACAGGAGAAGTTGGCCTGGACTGTGGGTTAACGAAAACAGCCAAACTGAGGGCTGCCGAGAAGCTCCTAGGCGAGCAAATCCGCCAATAAGCACAAGACCCACCAAGGTAGAGGAGGAACTTTGTCACAGGTGCCACAAGTACTCCTGTTCTTTTTACAAAGGAAGGAAGAGGTTGAGGGACTGGCGAGCTGGGAGAGAAGTGCAGGTCTAATTCAGCTCTGTCCAGTTACATGTTCTGAGTCAGGGCTGACCCCCATGCCGCAGGGCAGTGCTAGGAGGCTCTGTGCTGTGGGGATCATGATGGGGCTCACTAGGGGGCACTCTCCCCCCCAGTCAGAGCTGACCCCCAAGCCCCAGGGCAGTGCTAGGAGGCGCTGTGCTGTGAGGATCATGATGGGGCTCACTAGGGGGCGCTCTCCTCCCCAATCAGGGCTGACCCCCATGCCCCAGTGCTGGCCCCATGACCCTTCACAGCCGGGAGCGCGGGTTTGGTGCTGGTCCCGTGAGCCCTGGTGTACCTGGCCAGGGAAATGGATGGAGTGAGGAGCCGTTACCTGGTTACCCTGTAGCTGACCCCTCTGCTATTGTTGGACCAGGCCCTGCAGAGCGGCTGGGAGCTGCAAGGCATGCTGGGAACCCCCAGCCTGGCCGTGGTCAGCCCACAGCGTGTGGTGCCTTGATGGTGGGGTGGGGAGGTGGCTGTGTCCCTTAGGCAGGACGTCCTCTGGCTGTGATCAGAGGGGAGCAGGTGGCTCACAGGAGACAGGCGTTGGGGGTGCAGCTTCCAGGCTCAGACTGGTCCCCCCAGCACAGAGCTAAACGTGTCTCCCTGCGCCAGGTGAATGACTCACCCTGCACTCCTTCCCTGCCTGCCTCATTCACGCCTTCCTTCTGTCTCCCCCTTTCCCTGCCTCGCTCTGCCACACTCCTCTTCATCCTCCCCACTCCTCCATCTCTCTCCCTCATTCACACGTTCCCTCCATATGTCTGACTTTCATTCCCCCTCTCTCTGCCCCACCCCACAGTCGCCTCTCCACTCCTCCTCCTGGCTGTGTCTCGTTCAGTCGTTCTGTTTCTGACTGTCCTCTTTGTTCTCAGTCAGTGACCTCCTTCTGCACGTCTCCTGCTGTGTCTTTCTCTTTCACTCTCTCCATCTTCATCTCCCCTCTTCTTCAGGCACTGTCTCTTCTTCTCCCTCTTCACTCATCCTTTTCTCACTGTCTCATTCACCCTTTCCTTTTCTCACTCTTGTTCTGTCATTCATCTGTTTACTCCCTTTCTTTTTTTCCTTCCCTTTCACTTCCTCTATTTGGAGCCTGTCTCTTCATTCATCTCTTTGCCTCTGTCTCATTCCCCCTTTCCCTCTCTCACTCTTTCATTCCATCCCTCCCTTTAATCAGTCAGGTTTCTCCATCCCGGACACCAGGGTTCCCCAGCCATCAGCAGGTCTTCAGGCTGCATCGTGACCACCCATCCGTGCTCCTTTCAGACACTGTCTGGCCCATTCCAGGAGCTGGTTCCTCTCTCGGATGCGCAAACTTTGGGGAAGTGGGGAAGTCCAAGGGACAGACGATCACAGATATTTGTAAGAGCTCGGTTGCTATTTAGGTAGCCCATTGAAGGAGCAGATTCACCTGGCAGCAGCATCCTATTACACCCAGCAGGGAGCTCAGCGTCCTCCTTCATCTCCTGGGTGAGTGACCCTGCACTCCTCCTTCAGCCTGTCTCTCCTTCCCCCCTTCCCTGCATGCATCTCACCTTCTCCGTCCACCTCCAGCTCCTTGGGGCTTCTCGTCCCCCAGACTCCATCTCCAGTCTCAATTCAGCAACAGTCTGGCGGGCATCTGGCATTTCCCAGCTGCACGGGGTCTGCTCACGGGGCCTTTCTGTACAGGGAGCACAAACCCTAACCCTCGGGCTTCAGCAAATAGTCTCACAGTAACCAGGTGGCTGCTTTCCTAGGGCTTTACTCAAGTATCAAGCTCCTGGTCTTTTCCCCAACGGTCGTTTCCTTCCACCTACTGCCTGTCGCTCTCCCCAAGGGAAAAAGATATTGAGCCTCGTCCACCTGGGCCCACGTCCCCCTAAATTACATTCCCTGTCCCCCAGCCTCCTTCCCTCCTGTGCCGTTCCCGGAGCTCTCACTCCCTGTCTCTCCTCTTCTCTCCTTCAGCTTCTCTCCAGATCCTTCCCCAGCTGGCGTCACCTGCAGGTAAGGAGGGACGTGATCCACACACACGCTCCAGCTGTTCGTCCAGGTGGGTCCCATCCATGAAAAGGGGTCACCCCATGGGGCAGACTTCCAGTTCCAGTCTGGCCCCATGGTAGGGGGTCTGGCTGCTTGGGTCAGAGAATAGGACATGGGGCCTTTCATCTCTAGGGGCCGCCGGCTCTGATCCTGCCCCAGAGGAACTGGCTGGTCAGTGGGGTGGGGACAGGGGAACGGACAGGGGACACTGATTCCAGTATTTGTTTATGTGCCTGGCTTCTCACTGTGGGGTCACAGCACTGAGTGTAGAGACCCTCCCTCCCAGGCATCGTGTGCAGGGACCCTCCCACCCCACCTCGGAGTGCATCTCACTCTGGTTCTGCTCCACTCAGCTCCCAGTTTCGGGACCTGCAGGGCCCTGGGCAAGACTTCCCAAAGTGACTGGTGATTTGTGGGGGGCTCAGTTTCCTGGGGTCCCCTGGAAGCCTTATAGGGGCTGGATTCTCTGATAGGGCTGAGCCACCCCCCTTAGAACCAGGCCCCTTTAAGCGGCTTGAAATGGAGCACCCCAAGAAAAGAATCTAGCCCTGGCCCCAGGGCCACATGCAGAGTGAAATCTCAGCAGGGCTGGCTGCAAGCTGGGAGGTGGGGTGGGATCTGAGCCTGGGGGTTTCCATGGGGGGAGGTCTCTCTCCCTAGCTTCCATCTCCTCTCATCTCCCCACCCCCACTCCCACTTCCCTCATCCGTCCGGTCTCAGCACCCTACGGAGCCGAGTGAGCTGCACCACGCCCGGCAGAGCCCGTGACGTATGGCGTGGCCAGGTGGGAACCAGAACCCCCTAGAGGTGACAGTGGCTCCTGCCGCGTCCCCATGGAGCACAGGGGGTGTGTGCGGCAGGAGGGATGAAGCCAGAGCTCTGGGGCCTGTGGGTGCAGACACCAGGTGTCTTGTTGTGTGGGAGGAACGGAGAGCTGCGAGGGGCTGCCGGCTCCAGCCAAGGGGGGTAGGAATTGGGAGGCAGCACTTGGCTGGGGGGAGCGTAATGCCTGCTGAATCTCTCTGCCCTTCCTCAGCCCCCCTGCAAGCCCCAAGGGTCATCATGGACCCCCAGCACCCTGTGTATTTCCCGGGGGAGCGTCTCACCCTCAGATGCTTGGCCCCTGGTGGGGAGGCGGTGAGCAGCTACCAGTTCTACAATCAGCGTGGGGAGCGGGTCTACACGGAAACCACAGGCCTGTCCGGGGGGCCCTGGCTGGTCCTTACGGCTGAGACGGGGAAGGCCGGGGTGTACAGCTGTGAGTACTGGGCAGTGAGAGACGGGCGGCCCATCTACTCCGCACGAAGCCAGCCTCTCCGGGTACCAGTGATGGGTGAGTCCCCTTTCTCCTGCTGTCTAACAGGATTCCTGTCCCCGTCACATGTGAGACCCCAACCCCTCATGTGGGGGGAGGGTCACCAGTCTGCTCACTTCAACCCCCAGGGTCTCTGGCTCTTGGTGGATGGTCCCGTTGTCTTCTCTCCACTTACCCCCCCAAAAAAATGAACCCCCCCCCAAACAAACCAATACCATTTCACAGATTCTCAAACCGGAAAGGACCCCTGTGATCACCAAGTCCCAACTCCATTGGATGGCCCCAGTGTAATTCCTGTTTGAACTAGAGCAGATCTTCTAGGGAAACATCCAACCTGGTTCTAAAAATGGTCAGTGATAGAGAGTCCACCACAACCGTGGGTACGTTCTTCCAGTGATGAATTCCCCTCCCTGTTGAAAATTTCCACCTTATTCCCAGTCTGAATTTGTCTAGCTTCAGTGTTCAGCCTTTGGATCATGTTAGGTCCTTGGATGCCAGATTGAAGAGCCCTTCAGTATCAGATTTCTCTTCTCATGCTAGGTACTTATAGACCACGATCAAATCACCCCTTCACCTTGGTTAAGCTAAACCTGTTGAGCTCTAGAGATTCCTTCAGCACCCAAGCTGGCGGTGAGGCCGATTATAGATTTCAAGAACGTGGCTAAGTTTTAGGTCGCTGGTTTGATTCTGGCTTGAAGGAGCTTCCTGATGGTCCCTTCTGGCCTTTGACTGCAAATACAGCACATTGTTCCATAGGGCTTGTGGTTGTCCTCCAAAGTCCTTGCATGGGACGGGAGGGGAGGGTTGAAATTCGTTGCGGACACGTCAGAATGTTTCATTTAAACATTGTGGATCAGAATGAGACATTTTCCTCCCTCTTGAAACAAAATCCTTTATTTTTGGCTCTGTTCGTATCCTGTATCTGCCCAGAGTGGCTGACGTGCCTGATGGGAGTTTCAGTTCTGATATTTCGTGGCCCCCATTCTTCTTTCCTGGCCAGCCCCCCTCTCAGAACTAAGCCCCCCATGTGCGTTGCAGCAGTTCAACGAGAGGGGTGACCGCTGTGTATCTTGGCAGATCTAGTCCGGAACAGGGGTCTGTTCTGTATTAGATTGTTGTCGGTAAACACCGATTTTGCTGCCCACACACAAACCAACAGAGAAATATTTCCAACCTTCATAACTGAAATTTACCACTCAGCAAAGTAAGGACAATGACGACTGAGATCTAGTTCAGGCTATTTACTTGGTATATTTTCTCTGCGTAGTGACACCACAAGCCCTGGGCCGGCCACGTTGCGTGAGCACAGCCTGTGGCGTGCAAGCTGGGGGCCTCTTCCTCTTCACCTCACCAGGCCCTAAAGGAGCCCTGTTTGAACCAGCATCTCCTAGGACGCTTTCTCCCAGCCCCTTTGGGTGCAGGGGGCATCCAGCCCTCACGCTCTCTGTAGCCCCTAAGCATTCTGTCTCTCTCCTCAGGAGTGTGTTACTCTCCGGTGCTCAGCTCGCAGGAGGGTGATATGGCTTCTGCAATGAAATTGGGGTGCAGGTCTGTCAAGGTTCCTTCCCCACTCTGAACTCTAGGGTACAGATGTGGGGACCCGCATGAAAGACCCCCTAAACTTATTTCTACCAGCTTAGGTTAAAAACTTCCCCAAGGTACAAACTTTGCCTTGTCCTTGAACAGTATGCTGCCACCACCAAGCGTGTTAAACAAAGAACAGGGAAAGAGACCACTTGGAGACATCTTCCCCCAAGCCCTACACCCCCTTTCCTGGGGAAGACTTGATAAGAATCCTCTCCAATTTGTACAGGTGAACACAGACTCAAACCCTTGGATCTTAAGAACAATGAAAAATCAATCAGGTTCTTAAAAGAAGAATTTTAATTAAAGAAAAGGTAAAAGAATCACCTCTGTAAAATCAGGATGGTAAATACCTTACAGGGTAATCAGATTCAAAACATAGAGAATCTCTCTAGGCAAAACCTTAAGTTACAAAAAGACACAAAAACAGGAATATACATTCCCTCTAGCACAGCTTCTTACCAGCCATTAAACAAAAGGAAATCTAACGCACTTCTAGCTAGATTACTTACTAACTTAACAGGAGTTGTAAGGCTGCATTCCTGATCTGTTCCCAGCAAAAGCATCACACAGACAGACCAAACCCTTTGTTCCCCCCCGTCCAGATTTGAAAGAATCTTGTCCCCTCATTGGCCATTTTGGGTCAGATGCCAGCGGGGTTACCTTAGCTTCTTAACCCTTTACAGGTGAAAGGGTTTTGCCTCTGGCCAGGAGAGATTTTATAGCACTGTATACAGAAAGGTAGTTACCCTTCCCTTTATGACAAGGTCTCTGCAGATCTCCCTGCTTAGAACAGGGGTGCTCAGCTGGGGCTCAGGCTGTGATGGGGATCCCGAAAAATACACCTGCCCATACTGGGGGAGGAGAGTCTGGGTGGGAGACCATCTCTGAGCACAGCCATCCCTACTTGGCCCTAGCGACTGGTGCATCTGTTTCCTAGGGCTGGTTGAGCTGGGGTCGCGGGCATTTCTCCCCCTACAGCGACTGAGACACAACCAGCAATCTAGCTGCTGTCAAGGGCATCAGCGCAGTTTCGCTACCTGGTTCTCCTCCTTCTAGTTGTGTTCTCCTCCTTCTACCTGGTTCACCTCCTCCTACCTGGAGGAGTTGTGTTCTCCTTCTACCTGGTTCTCCTCCTCCTACCTGGTTCTCCTCCTCCTAGAAACAGATTTCCCTCTTGCTCCATCCATCTCTGCGATTTCTGATTTCCCTGGGAAGAGCCCTGTTACCATCGTATGCTCAGCCCCTCAGGGACATGTGGCTAAAAGGTACCAGTTCCTGAGGCAGGGGAATGTCATTGTCTCACAGTCGGGTGCCCGTCTCCAACTCCGTCAATCTGATTTGGACGCTACCGGCCCTTACACCTGCAGCTATGAGGTCAATGTCTCAGGGAGAATGATCCAGTCACTACCTAGTGCCCCCCTCTCAATCCATCTGACAGGTGAGTCATCTTTCCATCTACACCTCTTGGGTCAGGCGACGGCTGTCCAGATGTCTGGCCTGCAGACTGGAAGGGTTGTGGGCTACTGACCGGTATGTCTGCAATCGACTGAGCAATCTGTCTGTAGAGCTGATGAATCCTGTCTGAAAATGGGGGGTTGGTATCTGGGCCAGACTGAAGACTCCACTTTGGATGGGGGATTCTTTACCTTTGCTGTGGTCAGTTGGTCTCCATCTTCGGCTGAACTTGGACTATAAGGTGGATAGAAAGCTGGCTAGATTGTCGGGCTTAACGGGTAGAGATCAATGGCTCCATGTCTAGTTGGCAGCTGGTATCAAGTGGAGTGCCCCAGGGGTCGGTCCTGGGGCCAGTTTTGTTCAATATCTTCATAAATGATCTGGAGGATGGTGTGGATTGCACTCTCAGCAAGTTTGCAGATGACACTAAACTGGGAGGAGTGGTAGATACGCTGGAGGGTAGCGATAGGATACAGAGGGACCTAGACAAATTGGAGGATTGGGCCAAAAGAAATCTGATGAGGTTCAACAAGGACAAGTGCAGAGTCCTGCACTTAAGACGGAAGAATCCGATGCACCGCTACAGACTAGGGACCGAATGGATCGGCAGCAGTTCTGCAGAAAAGGACCTAGGGGTTACAGTGGACTACAAGTTGGATATGAGTCAACAGTGTGCCCTTGTTGCCAAGAAGGCCAATGGCATTTTGGGATGTATAAGTAGGGGCATTGCCAGCAGATCGAGGGATGTGATCGTTCCCCTCTATTTGACATTGGTGAGGCCTCATCTGGAGTACTGTGTCCAGTTTTGGGCCCCACACTATAAGAAGGATGTGGATAAATTGGAAAGAGTCCAGCGGAGGGCAACAAAAATTATTAGGGGACTGGAACACATGACTTATGAGGAGAGGCTGAGGGAACTGGGGATGTTTAGTCTTCAGAAGAGAAGAATGAGGGGGGATTTGATAGCTGCTTTCAACTACCTGAAAGGGGGTTCCAAAGAGGATGGCTCTAGACTGTTCTCAGTGGTAGCAGATGACAGAACAAGGAGTAATGGTCTCAAGTTGCAGTGAGGGAGATTTAGGATGGATATTAGGAAAACCTTTTTCACTCGGAGGGTTGTGAAACACTGGAATGCGTTACCTAGGGAGGTGGTGGAATTTCCTTCCCTAGAAGTTTTTAAGGTCAGGCTTGACAAAGCCCTGGCTGGGATGATTTAGTCGGGGATCAGTCCTGCTTTGAGCAGGGTGTTGGACTAGATGACCTCCTGAGGTCCCTTCCAACCCTGATATTCTATGATTCTATGAACTTCCAAAGGAAGGTGGGAACAGAATCGCACAAGAGGGTCATTGAGTTAAAATGCTCACCCCTTGCAATGTGATTGCTCTGCACAATCAGAGAGCTCCTGTCCAGGAGAACTGGTTTGTCAAGGGAGGTCGTGTTACCAACTAAGTCCCTGTGACGCTCTCCTCAGCAAGGGAGATTCATAGATTCATAGATTCATAGATATTAAGGCCAGAAGGGACCATTATGATCATCTAGTCTGACCTCCTGCACAATGCAGGCCACAGAATTTCACCCACCACTCCTAAAAAAGACCTCACACCTATATCTGTGCTATTGAAGTCCTCAAATTGTAGTTTGAAGACCTCAAGGAGCAGAGAATCCTCCAGCAAGTGACCCGTGCCCCATGCTACAGAGGAAGGCGAAAAACCTCCAGGGCCTTCCAATCTGCCCTGGAGGAAAATTCCTTCCCGACCCCAAATATGGCGATCAGCTAAACCCTGAGCATATGGGCAAGATTCATCAGCCAGATACTACAGAAAATT